CCTCCTCCCCTCGCCTCCCCTCCCTCCTCCTCTCCCCTCCCCCTCCCCTCTCCTCCCTCCTCTCTCTCACCTCCCTCCCTCCTCCTCCCCTCCCCTCCCCTCCCCTCCCCTCCCCTCCCCTCCCCTCCCCCTCCCTCTCACCATCCTCCCTCCCTCCTCCCCTCCCCTCCCCTCCCTTTCCCTCCCTACCCCACTTGTATTTCCTTTGTTTTTGCTTTGTTTGTTTTTATTTAGTTTGCTTTTGTTGCTTAGTTTTTTTTTTTTTTTAAATTAAGCAGAATAACCGGAAAGTATACTGATCGGGAGGTTTCGTTATGGCTCATTACGGGATGAGGGGGGGTAGGGGGGGGCGTTGAAACCTCTCTATCCGTCTCCCTTTCTCTCTTTTATCTATCTCTTTTTCTCTTTTTTCATCCCTCTTTTCTCTTTTTTCTCTCTTTGTCTCTTTTTCCCTTGTTCTGTTTTTCTTTCTATTTCTTTCTCTTTCTCTCTTTCTCTCTCTGTCTCTCTCTCTCTCCCTCCCTCCCTCTCCCTCGCCCTCGCCCTCTTCCCCCCCCCCCTCCCTCCTTCCCTCCCTTTCCCCCTTCCTCCTTCCTTTTCTCTTTTCTACTTTCTCTTTCTCTCTTTCATTCTCTCCGTTTCTTTCCTTCTTTCCTCTTTGCCCCCTTCCTTCCCTCCTCATTCTCCTTCCGTCATTCCTGAAATCCCACAAATATCGATGTTTAACTTTTACTTGCTGTCTAATAACTGGGTAAATTCCCGCTTGAAGAAAGTGTTAAACAACGTCGCTAATCCCCGCTTGAAGAAAGAGCTATACAATAGGAGACACGTTCGCATACCCCCACCCCCCCTCTCCTTCCCTTCCTCTCCCCTGAGCCTTTTTATTTGTTTTTTTTTTGTTTATTTATTTACCTATTTATATTTAAGTTCAGAGGAATGCACATCTTCGTCAGCGGAAGAGTAAGGTAGACTGAGAAAGGGGGAGGGAGGAGTGTGGAAAGGGGAAGGGAGAGGGAGGAGGAGGAGGGGGGGAAGGTAGGATATTGACCCTCGAGAGGTCAGGGGCTTTGTGGGATTAATAATGATAATGATTTAATTTATTCAATTTGTGACATTGGTTATTATGTTCGGTATGACAGGCTACATGTTTGTCTGTTTATTATAATTTACTCTCCGTGTGCAAGGAGTGACCGGGGTTACCATCCATTGGCAGCGCGGGATTCGAACGCGGGTTAGGAAGATTACTAGACGAGAACGCTACTACTGCACCACACGATAATTTAAATAATTCCATTTGTGACATTGGTTAACTTAACCCATTCGCTCCGGATTTATGTTGTGTCCCCTGTAGTTTATGTGAATTTTGTTACATGCAGATGGCTCCACATGTGCTCAGCCGGCAAGGAGTCTATCAGTAGACTCTAGTTACCGATCCTGATTTTCCCATTCATTGAATTGGCGGGGAAAATTAATACCATTGCTATTGATACTGTTATTATTGTTATTGTTGTTATGATTACTAAATTGTCATTGGACAATGAAATTATACAAAAAACTCTTTCCTTAAGTGAAGGAAAAGGGGAAACAAGTAAGTTAATATGTTCGGTATGACAAGCTGTCTGTTTATTTTGCCTTTAAATTTACACCGTGTATACCATTTCCACATTCGAGTGTGGGATTCGAACGCGGGTCAGCACCATCGCGAGACAAGAGCGCTACCACTGCGCCACAGAGCTCACTCGTCTGAGGCTCTTTTCAGAATTTTTTTACGAGTTTTTACGGGATAATGATGCTGATATATTTGTAGTTAGTCCGAGATTTTTTTTTTTATTGGGGAGAAAAGAGAGAGAAAGAAAGAAAGAAAGAAAAATCCAAAAAGGTATAGAACAGTTGATAATGAGGATGAATATGAGGAAGTGAACATGATAATAATGATGTTTATGATAACGATAAAGGTAATGATAATGATAGATGGGGAGAAAGATAATGATAATAATGATAACGTGGATGATAATGATATTGCTAGTGATAATGATAATAGAAATAGCAGAATTGTATTGCAAATGATGCTAATGATATTGATGATAGTAATGATAATGATATTGATAATAATAATGATAATGATGCTGATAGTTATGATAATGATGCTGATAGTTATGATAATGATGTTGATAATGATATTGATAATAATAATAATGATAATGATGCTGATAGTTATGATAATGTTGATAATGATATTGATAGTTATGATAATGTTGATAATAACAACAATAATAATGATATTGATAATGAAGCGATAATAATAATAATAATATTAATAATGATGATGATGATGATAATGATGATGATGATGATGATGATGATGATGATGATGATGATGATGATGATGATGATGATGATGATGATGATGATGATGATGATGGTGGTGATGATAATAATAATGATAGTAGTACAAGTAATAGTAGTAGTAGTAGTAGTAGCAGTAGTAGCAGCAGCAACT